CCTCCTCCTCCTCCTCCTCCTCCTCCTCCTCCTCTTCCACAAACTCCTCTTCCATCTATCGTTGATAAAGTTACTTAAAAGTTAAAAGTTCAACAGCTTTATTTTCTTATTAACTGCATGTCCTGCAACTCTTATTCAGTAAGGTAAGGTAACGTTCTTGACTTGGAGACATCCTTATTGTCCTCTAACTGATCTTGACCAGCTCAAGGTTGACTCAGCCTTCCATTCTTCCAATGCTGATAAAATGAGGACCTAGATTGTTGGGGGCAATATGAAGAGAGAGGGCTGCAAAACATTGTGAAGCAGTATATAAATCTAAGTGCTGTTGCTATTGCTAATCAGGCAAAAACCTACTAATATGTCTTTTTCATTGTATCCCCCCCAAAGTAAGGACAAGCTAAATTTCCAGTGAGATAAAAAAAACCTGAGAATTTCTCCAATATCTTCCCTTTATATGAAAAGGGAGAGATGGAGGACAGGGAAAATAATTCTCTTTTCCATCAGCCCAGCGTGAATTGAAAATGCAAGATAATCAGACTGATTCGTTTTCCAATAAATGCAGTCCAGGATGACAAACCGATGCAAATTCAATTTTTGTCTAAAAGAAAAGTCTAATAAGCAAGATCAGTTCAGAGTCAATCCGTGCTAATAGAATTCAAACACGTGCACCCTCCATGCCTAGAGGAATATATGAATGGAGTTATGATTCTAAGGTTCTTGGCAGTTGGGTTTTACATGCCTACTCTCTTTTTCATACTAAAAAAGGGAATGGTTATTCTATTTGAGAATTATCAAAATATGTCTCCCCCTTCTCTGCTGGCACATGTATTTTTCCTCTAAATGAAATGGAAATATAAAGTGGATAGCAAACTAATTGTAGGAGAGCAGAAAGAGCTAGGGTGGGTGGAGTTAAATGTGTCATTAGCTTAGAATTGTTTGATGGCTGGCTGAGGAATTCTGGGAGTTGAAGTCCACAAGTCTTAAAGTTGCCATGTTTGGGGACCTCTGATCTAACTCATCATGTGTAAGTCACCAAGGTAAGTCCTGTGGCAAAGTTGGCAGCTACTCCCATGACTCATCCAACCAAGATCTGAACCTGGTGTTTTCCAGAAGTTTTGGAGTGTTATTCCAACCATTCTTTAGTTGTATTGTCTATGGCTGCTAGGATTTAGCCCCAAAACACAGAATTGCTTGTTCTTATATTGAAGGAAGTACATTATTCTTGCTATTTTTCTACTAATAAGGCAACAAAGACATCATAAATCCTGTTATTTCCTGTGGTGGAGCTTTTGCTTTATGAAGGAATTCCGTTGAGATAATGGATTTATTCGTTATTCACTTCAGGGTCTGCTTGTGTTCTTTCTTCACAGGTCTCAGACGACTGCGATGCCATCTTTGTGAACGGGAAGGAAATGAAAAGCAAAGTAGACGCCATTGTGAACTTCACCTACCAGCATTTTACCACTCAGCTAGAAATCACTGTATGGGTCCCACGGCTCCCATTACAAATTGAGATCTCCGATACCGAACTGAGCCAGATCAAAGGTTGGAGAATTCCCGTCACCTCCAACAAAAGGTATTGGAACCACATCCTGTATATTTTTCTTGGGAATCAGTCAATACTCTTTCTGGTGCAATATCCCACCTGTTCTGACCCAGCCTTAGCAGAAGCAAGAAACAGACTCCTAGCCACAAAAAAACCCCTCATTATTTACCTCTTGTGAATTAATTGCATTCACCCACCAAAAAGTCCAGGCAATAGTCCTTCAAGGAGTTAACTCCAGTACAGACCTTATCAGTTCCTTATGACAATTGCCAGGCCATGAGTTCCCAGCTGAAAGGCTGCAAATTAAGTTCTGGCAAGCAGTCTTTATGGCATGAAACACAATGAGCAAAATCTTCAGAAATATGAACTGTTGTCTCCTACGACAACCACTCCCCTTTCCTTCTATTTATTCCCCAGCCAGGGAGGGGCCACTCTGCATCTACATGTGCTTTGCTTCCCGAGTTGACTCCTTGTCCTCCGTTGCTCACCTCTTCTAACTTCTCTGCGCATAGCATACGTGCATCTGGAACAGGCGTCAGCTGTTCTTCCTCCTCACTGATATCAGCCTCTAAAGGCAGTTGCCTCTCTGGTGTCTTGGAGAAATTGGACGGCCCTGGCTTTATCTCTGCATC